GCAGTTCTCTCCAATAAAAGTCGAGGTGGATTTTAGAGAAAACATATTTACAATTGTCATGTCAGAATAGTATATAAATTTTTAATTAATTACCAGTTAAAAAAATAGTACAACTTTTCGTCTGAATTAACAATAACAACAACATTAAGCAACAACAACAGCAAGAAGCAACAACAACAATAACAACAAGCACAAAAATAATCAACAACAAGCACAACAACAACAATAAAAAAGACAATAACATCAACAACAAGCACAACAACAAGCACAAAAATAGACAACAAGCACAACAACCAATAACAACAACACGACAAGCACAACAACCAATAACAACAACAAATAAAACAACAATTACATCAAAGACAAGCACAACAGCAACAATCAAAAAAATAGACAACAAGCACAACAACCAATAACAACAACAACAAGCACAACAACCAATAACAACAACAACAAGCACAACAACCAATAACAACAACAACCACAACAACAACAAATAAAACAACAATTACATCAACAACAAACACAACAGCAACAAGCAAAAAAATAGACAACAAGCACAACAACCAATAACAACAATAACAAACACAACAACCAATAACAACAACAACAAGTATAACAACAACAATAAAATGCAATAATAACAAGCACAACAACAACAAAAACAACAAATATATAAGACTTGTCTATTAAAAATCATTTTAAAGATTAGAGTAAGCCTCACCTTTTCAATAGTGCAATATCGGTCTGCGACGTAGGTCTCTGACAAGCCTCTCCTATACAAGATACATATATGAAAAATTACTATATTACATCAAGGTTAAAACGAATTATTTAATAGAACAAACGAAATAATAACAACGGTGCATCTATCGAAGTAATAACAATTATGCATACCAGTCTGTGACGTAGGTCCCTAGCAAGCCTCTCCAATACAAGATCCATATATGAAAAATTACAAGGTTACCTAAAAGTTAAAACGAGTTATTTATGTGAACAATCAAATTAATAACAATAGTTGATCAATTGAAGTAAAAACAATGGTGCTTACCAATCTGAGACGGAGGTCACTTGCAAGCCACTCCAACTCAAGATCCAAATATGAAAAATTACAAAGATACATCAAAGTTAGAACGAATTATTTAAGCGAACAATCGAAGAAATAAAATTGATGCATAATCGTCTGCGACGTAGGTCCCTTGCAATTCTCTCCAATAAAAGTCGAGGTGGATTTTAGGGAAAACATATTTACAATTGTCATGTCAGAATAGTATATAAATTTTTATTTAATTATCAGTTAAAAAAATAGTACAACTTTTCGTCTGAATTAACAATAACAACAACATTAAGCAACAACAACAGCAAGAAGCAACAACAACAACAACAACAAGGACAAAAATAATCAACAACAAGCACAACAACAACAATAAAAAAGACAATAACATCAACAACAAGCACAACAACAAGCACAAAAATAGACAAAAGCACAACAACCAATAACAACAACAACACAACAAGCACAACAACCAATAACAACAACAAATAAAACAACAATTACATCAAAGACAAGCACAACAGCAACAATCAAAAAAATAGACAACAAGCACAACAACCAATAACAACAACAACAAACACAACAACCAATAACAACAACAACAAGCACAACAACCAATAACAACAACAACCACAACAACAACAAATAAAACAACAATTACATCAACAACAAACACAACAACAACAAGCAAAAAATTGACAACAAGCACAACAACCAATAACAACAATAACAAACACAACAACCAATAACAACAACAACAAGTATAACAACAACAATAAAATGCAATAATAACAAGCACAACAACAACAAAAACAACAAATATATAAGACTTGTCTATTAAAAATCATTTTAAAGATTAGAGTAAGCCTCACCTTTTCAATAGTGCAATATCGGTCTGCGACGTAGGTCTCTGACAAGCCTCTTCTATACAAGATACATATATGAAAAATTACTATATTACATCAAGGTTAAAACGAATTATTTAATAGAACAAACGAAATAATAACAACGGTGCATCTATCGAAGTAATAACAATTATGCATACCAGTCTGCGACGTAGGTCCCTAGCAAGCCTCTCCAATACAAGATCCATATATGAAAAATTACAAGGTTACCTAAAAGTTAAAACGAATTACTTATGCGAACAATCAAAGTAATAACAATAGTTAATCAATTGAAGTAAAAGCAATGGTGCTTACCAATCTGAGACGGAGGTCACTTGCAAGCCACTCCTACACAAGATCCATATATGAAAAATTACAAAGATACATAAAAGTTAGCACGAATTATTTAAGAGAACAATCGAAGAAATAAAATTGATGCATAATAGTCTGCGACGTAGGTCCCTTGCAAGTCTCTCCAATAAAAGTCGAGGTGAATTTTAGGAAAAACATATTTACAATTGGCATATCAGAATAGTATATAATTTTTTAATTAATTACCAGTTAAAAAATAGTATAACTTTTCGTCTGATTTAACAACAACAACATTAAGCAACAACAACAGCAAGAAGCAACAACAATAACAACAAGCATAAAAATAATCAACAACAAGCACAACAACAACAACAAAAACAACAATAATATCAACAACAAGCACAACAACAACAACAACAACAACAAGCACAAAAAATAGACAACAAGCACAACAACCAATAACAACAACAAGCACAACAAGAAATAAAACAACAGTTACATTAACAACAAGCACAACAGCAACAAGCAAAAAAATAGACAACAAGCACAACAACCAATAACAACAACAACAAGCACAACAACCAATAACAACAACAACAAGCACAATAACCAATAAAAACAATAAGTACAACAACAACAAATAAAACAACAATTACATCAACAACAAGCAGAACAACAACAAACAAAAAAATAGACAACAAGCACAACAATCAATAACAACAATAACAAGCACAACAACCAATAACAACAAGCACAACAACAACAAATAAAACAACAATTACATCAATAACAAACACAACAGCAACAAAATAGAAATGCCACTCCCAACATATGTGGCCCTTCCAAATACAATGAAATTCCCACACTACACTTGTGTCTAAATAGAAATGCCACACGTAAATGACATTTGGGTATCTTTGAGGAAAAAAACTAACATAAAACAACTTAAACAAGTTAGTTAAATTAAAAGACCGGTATAAATATTTTTCAACTAGAGGACCAATATGAACACCTAAAAATAAAAAGAAGAAAAAAAATGTTTACCCAATATAAAACATCGAAATCGGAGCAAAACTTATTTTTACTTTAAATGTCATATTTTATTATTGTGCATGAATCTTGCGATTCATTACAAAATTTGATTCATGACTCTTGGACCGATAAGAATTCTGGTTTGTAATTGAATCTCTAATTAAATAATCATGTTTTTATACATTTGCATATATTTTCTTTTCAAAAGTTTGAGTTGTATAACTTTGCAACAGAGGTGCATTCACTGTAGATGGTGAGCCTAAAAAACCAACATCTTCCTCTATCTCTTCCGTTGCTTTGCCCCATAAAACAGCATAAAGGCCATTTGAGATTATTGTGGCTCCAATTATACTGCAAATAATTTATACATAAGCACTCATGATAAACGTTTATGATATAAACACTGAATTAATCGGTTTATCTAAACAAGACTTAAATAAGATAAAATCCCGCATAAAAGTAAATTTGAGACAACACCTTAAACAAAACCAAAAACAGTAGATATGAATTTGTTCAATTATGTTGTCTTTCATTTAAGTTTCTAACAAATGTGAGACTTCTTCAGCTGCACTTGTTATGCTAAGTGCTTTCATTTTCGTATGAGCTAACTCTTCATTTCTCTAAAGTATCGGCATTTGGTTAATAGTCCTAAACCAAGGAAAAAGATTAACTTGTTAGATTCTTCTGGCAAGTCAGAAGAAGCTGAAAGTAGCGATAATGCTTTTTTGAGAAGTAAATTTTTCGCCTCGTCGAAGTTGCAAAAGAAGAGTTCGGGTGGTTTGGATGATATGGATCTTGGAAATAGATGGAAAGGGATGAAAAGAAAATCCAAAAAAGGTTTTCGTGAGGGAAAATATCGTTCGATGTATTTAAGAAATAACGGCGAAGGAAGAACTCATAGTTATAAAGACAGATCATTAAATGCAACTGCATACAAGGATTTGATAAATTCATATTCATCGAATATCAATGAAATGCCTGTCAAAGAAGAGGCACCTATTACTGATCAATGGAAGAAAAGTAACACAACAAATGACGTTGGAAAAAACAAGGAAACCGAGATTTCTCATGGAGAGGATGAGGATGAAAAAGCTGAACTCGATAAATTGTGGAAAGAACTTGAAGTGTCACTTGCATCGAGTTATTTTGAAGAATCAGAGGTTTGTAATCGCTTGGCCGTTGATTTTATTTATCTTTGTTCTTTTGTTCTGTTTTCTCTAAGGCTAATCAGTTTGATTAAATAAAACAAATAATTATGATACTTTTGTGGTATGCATCCATAGAATACCAGTATTGAATAATAATTCATTACAGAAATAACTCCAATTTTTAAGCATCCGAACTTCATACCAATGATAGAATGAAAACAGAGATGAGTTTGAGAAAGAGACAACATGTGAGAACAGTAGAGGAATGAGGTTGAGAGTGAAATACCTAGAGTTTAGACTCTAGAAGGAAAAGAGAGGGGAAGTTGGAAATTAGTAAGACCATTGGGTCGGGCTGTGTGAGAATGGACTGGGCATTAATAAAAAAATAATAATAAAAAGCTCAGACTTGGTCTGTGTAATTTGTTTTTTTGCTGGGAGTTAATTGAAATTGATTTTGAATCGATTTAATAGCACCTCATTGATTGAAAATTTTTAAAACTAAATATCATTGAATCTATTCAATGATGTAGTGAATGGATTCAAACAGTCTACTAACTTAAAATTGCAGTTTTAATTCAAAATATGGAAAGGCAAGGTAAGATGCTTACTCAGTACATTGAAGATATGGAGTGTGCAAGGTACATGGCCTAACACAAGATCAATGGAGAGGCATCTAATTGTGGAACTGCCGAAGGAAATTGGATTGTTTGAGATACAAGTTACTATAAAATGTAATTGGCATTTGAAATAATGTGGTTGCAGCAGTACATCAAAAAGGATAAGATACAATATAGATAATAGAAGCCAAGTATGATCAATTTAGTAGTTTCAAAAACAAATGTTGGGTTAGATGGATGTAGCCACAGTAATTATAAGCATGAAAAATGAACTAATCATGAGAAACTATTCAAAGGAATCGCTTTAAGCCGTTCATGTAGTCAGTCATATGACAATCGAAATAAACTCATCATGAGCTTATTATTGTTTTAATACAAATGTTTAAGAAAAGCATTTTATTTCCAATCAATTACATAAACATCAATCAAAACTAAATCATCATATACTTTAGATTTAGTTAATTTTAGGTAACAGGAGGAGCACTCATAATCGGAGAATAAATCATTTACAAAAGAAATGTACAATATTTGAAATCACATTAACGAACCTGAATTGAAGATCTAGAGTGAGGCAGAACGAGAGTTGCGATCTAGAGCTGAAATAACAAGAAAAGTTCACAGTGAGCAAGTAAGAATGAATACTTGTTTGGAAAGTGGAACGTTATATTATGTATCTACAAAAGATTTAGACTAAAAGATAATTAAAATATTGTAATAGTGCTATCAATTTTCAGCATTATAACTCAAACAAGAATCATTCAGAAAGAATAAAAAAAAAGATCGAGTAGCCCCTATTAACGCAATACCATCTCAATTCTGGTACTGTTCTAATTCACCCTCTAAAATTCTGCATTGGATCTAGTTGTTTCATGAAATTGAGAATTATATGATTTTGATTATATCATACAGATCCATTATTGAACCAAAAGCAAACATATTAGACTATTTCAAGAATTAGCAAACAGAAAGAATTATCCAAACAAAAGAAAATAAGTAACACATAACAGAATAATAGCCAAGTATATGTAAATATAGCTTAGCCAAACAAAGCCTAAAGGCTTGTAACAAATGATAAGCTCTCCATAGAAATGTGCTTATCATTATCTAAAATATGGTCTCAAGTCTCGGGGGTTGATCTCCATAGAAATTTGTTTACAACAATGACATTTAGGTAGTCAAAAAAAGATTTATGTCAGAACCGCATGAGCTATATGAAGATGAAGATGCTTACAGTAGAATATTAAAGTAAAGACCACATCTAAGAGCAACTGACAGAAAACAGAAGACAACTGCAAATATCGGTCATCGCGGTCGCAAAAACGACCGCGTTAAAACAGTTCCGGCATTTGCAATACTGATACCATTATTCACCGGTTTTATGTTGAAGAATAAATTTTGATTAATTCACATTGGACAACTGCAATTAATATCGCGACAACCTGTGCCGACTTAAATCGCGAAAGCCTTTGCGTACCTTAAATAGATGTACTTTTCAAAAGTTTGAGTTGTATAACTTTGCAACAGAGGTGCATTCTCTGTAGATGGTGAGCCTAGGAAACCAACATCTTCCTCTATCTCTTCCGTTGCTTTGCCCCATAAAACAGCATAAAGGCCAATTGAGATTATTGTGGCTCCAATTATACTGCAAATAATTTATACATAAGCACTCATATGATAAGCGTTTATGATATAAACACTGAATTAATCGGTTTATCTAAACAAGACTTAAATAAGATAAAATTCCGCATAATAGTAAATTTGAGACAACACCTTAAACAAAACCAAAAACAGTAGATATGAATTTGTTCACTTATGTTGTCTTTCATTTAAGTTTCTAACAAATGTGAGACTTCTTCATTTGCACTTGTTATGCTAAGTGCTTTCATTTTCCTATGAGCTAACTCTTCATTTTTCATATCTTGATTCATTCTAAGTTTACCTAATCCATTTATGTCCATTCTCCATTACCACCACCATGCTTTGGTTTCATTCTACCAGAATCTACATTATTTCATAAAGCACATGTCCAACAAGATTCATTTTGTTGGATAGCAGAGTCTCAAAAGTGTTAATTATCAGTTAATAATAACAATTCAGAACAGTTTCATAAAGAATCAGTTTGATTTTTTGTAAATATATTTTTGGTTCGGTTAAGAATTTCAGAAATCAGAACCAGTATGCTAAACCTTATACCAATTGAGTAATAGTTCATTTCAATTTGATTTGATTTTTCTTCTTAAATCGAACCAACCATGAACAAATCCTATTTGGTGAGAGCCTAATATATTTGCTCCCCGTGTTTTAACCAAGAATAAAAAATTGACCATACCTTCCGATATGAAGCGTATCACCAAGGAATATAACTCCCAAGATAACAGAAATAGCAATTTGAATTGGCATGAATGATGTTACATAGACAGCTCCCTTTAAGTAAACTGACCATGCATAAATTATATTGCCTATTAACTTTCCAAATATTCCCTACAAAAAAAATGTCATCAATAAACTCCACAAGCTTAAGAGATGTAAATCTTTTTAGTTATGCAGTTTAAATTCCGACAACAAATAGCTCAATCATGCAGTTTAAATATGTGATTAATTACATTCAATGCATAACCAAACAAGTGTCACAATTCATTAATCATCAACTCAACAAATTTTAAAGTGTAGCAGTAGTTTGCAGTGTATCTTACCGAAGAAATAATGGACCTTAAGGTTTGTATGTGCCACATTAGCAGAAACTGTAGATGCGGCTAATTCTTGGCGAAACTTATCTAACTGTGTCTCTTGCACATAGAGAAGTGCTTCAACGACGCATAGAGTAGATGGAACAGCGCAGCCATACATTTCATAACAAAAGGATTGAATTCTTTAGGAAATCCTTCAAGAATATAATCAATATGGTCTTGCTCAGAGATGGAGTCTCCAACAGCTAAAAAGGATTTTGCAATGGCTTTGATGCGAAGGACAAATTCTATGATTGAACGACTTCCCTTCTTTGTGGATTTGAGTTCAACACATAATTACATGACCCTAGCTTTCATTTAACCATTGAAGAATTTTGTGAATTTTTTCCCAAACTTCAAAGGCGTGTTTGCACGCAAGAACACGATGTAGGACCGATTCAGAAATGGTAGATAACAGCCCTACGAAGACTGCCTGATCTTTGAGCAATCCGGGCTTCATATTCATCAGAAATTGTACACAGTCTTGAACTTCTGAGGAATTTGAGGATTGACGACAAGTTTGTGCATCTTCTGTGCAAGAATGACTCCTTCGACTTGTTGATTCCATAGAAGATAGTTATTCTCTTACAATACGAGAGCTCCGGTCCAAAAGAATTGTTCGATTTCGTTGCAGCAAACGTCGTTGAGAGATCTTGAGACTGTGCTTGATCTTTAACCACAGATTCTTGATTTTCAGACACCATTGTAGCACGGCGAGGTTTGAACGTTGTGTGATTCAGGATTATCTTGATACAAAGGTTCTTGATTTAGGGTTTCCGGCGAACACTTTGGGGGAATAGGGAAGCGATGCGAAACGCTGAGAGATGAATGATGAGAGTCACAACTTTGAGATAACGGAAAACGCAGACGATCGTTGACGACGATTGATACCATGTTAAGAGACAGCAACATGACTCATTACTCAGTGAAGATGAGTTTCAGAGAAGAAGATGATAACAGAATATGAGTAGCAAGTGTAAAGCATGTGCCTCAATCATTGGCTTTAGAATATGATTTTCATTTATATTTGTTTAGATCGTTAAATGTTCTTCCTGGATGATGGCCTAACTTAAAAATGATTTCTTTTATCGTTTTTTTGGGTCATGTCATGTAGTTATTTTCAATTTAATCGCATGTCATTATTGTTCAAGTTTGTAAATGTTGGTTTTTAAATATTTCATGCATATTTATTAAAAAATTGAGTTCTATTTTAAATATTCTAATATGAAAATGCTATCCTTAACAAATCATGTACTTTTATTTTAAAATACATCTATTTAAATATGTTTTATGATTTTAATTTTACCTATGACTATTTTGATATTTATGCTTATTTTAGGTAAACCACAAATAAATGGAACAAATTTGTTATAACGTTATATTCAAAATTATCAACTTATCTAATTCTTTAATTCTGAGACTTCTTTTTATAGTTTTTTTTAATACTTTTTCCAAGTCTTTCTTAATTGTTGGTAGTTTAACTCCATTTGATCTATTTTTCTTACAACAAAATTTACATGTATTTTTTCTACATATTAAAATCAATAAAGTCTATTTTTTAACCATTCATTTTGATTTTTTTGAAAAGTTCTGTAACTTTTTGCACATTTTACAGACATCATTGGATATTTGGATATTTTTATTTGATGACAAATAAGTTTGTGGTTTTACTGTATTTTTAATATTTTTTTGGATTTTTACTGAATGTTTGAAAATATTTGGTTAAAATGTAATGATTTTTTTTTTTTGCATTTTTTGAATAATTCAAAAAAAAATCCATACATTCGATTGAATTTTTGAAAAAATGCATAATTTTTGGGATTTTTTTAAAATTGCATAAATGTTTTCGGATTTTTTTAAAAAAATTTTGGTAAAAACACAATGTTTTTTTTTCACATTTTAAAAAAATCCGGATAAAATTCATATGTTCAACTGCATTTTAAAAAAAAAACTTTATATTTTTACCGGATATTCCGAACATGCAGTAACTCCATAAATTTCATTTTTTTTGTTGTAAAATCCAATAGTTTAAAAATATTTATTTTTTTATTTTTTGCAGTGAAGACCAAAGGCGTAGATGGTACGATTGTAAATAGAAAACGTAATAAAGTTGTTGTTAAGAGGGCTCGAGAGAGGAGAGGCGACATTGACGAATCACATCTTCGGGCAGGGAGAGTGACACCGACCAGTTCTCACATGAGGCTGCTGGCCGGTTAGGCTCAGCTTCGTGCACCATGCACTATCTGACGTAGAATATCTAGATTTGCTTCTGGATGGATGTGAGATTATGAGGATGAGCCCGGTGATGTTCAAGCACTAGAGACAGAGGTGCCCCGTGTAACACCCTTATTCTACCCCACAGATATTACAGCAGAATAATACGGATTTCAGAGTAAAATATTAACTTTCATTAAAAAGCCACAAAATGGCGTACATTTCTCAAAGTCAACAAAATTGGTCAATACTCTGTAACACATGGGTTTTCTCAAAATACATCAAAACATCATATACAACGGAACTCAAAACATAACTCAATGTTTTCCTCATAAGGGAACATCAGTAAAATAACCCAATGATACACAATCAACTCAAAGAACCCAACCCGATGTTACATATCAAAGCAAGACCCTCTAAATTAACCATAAAGGCTAACGACTCTAAAACTTCAAAATACTCCTCGACGACGTCCACGGTTAAACTTGCTCATCTGCATGTTACCCACGTGGAGGTAACATTCAAACAGGCAGGGTGAGTAAGACAATTCATCAATGTATGAAAATTAATGAATAAACGGCATAATACTCATAATTATATTCAACACATTGATATCCTTCAAATATGCCTCAAAGACCATAACGTCATAATTTATACACAAGGCTCATAAATGCAAATGCAACATAGACTCAATGCATGTGGTACCAATCATCACATCGCGATGGACACTGGGCCATCAACCCTCCATAGATCCCCATCAATAGGATCGGAGCACATCAAAATACTTCACATCCACACAGTGGGATTGAAGCCAAAGAAATAGAGGTCCTGAACCGAAGTCTGGATGCACATGAATGCATGATGCACACGTCACAATAATCCTCATAATAACAACATATGGTGCATCATCATTCAGCATATTCATCATATTCGTCATACGTCATAACTCATCATATTAATCATCAATACAACATATCATCATAATTCATCATATTACTCATCGTGCAACATATCATCATAATTCATCATATTAATCACCATACAACATATCATCATAATTCATCATATTAATCATCACACAACATATCATCATAATTCATCATATTACTCATCATACAACATATCATCATAATCCATCATATTAATCATTCTCACACATCATGTCATCATATAATCACGTATAAATCACATATTAGCTCATAGTCATATTATCCCATATTATCTCATATTAATTCATAATACTACCCCCATATCATCTCATATTAATTTACTAAGTTATACTCACGGTAATCCTCACACTATCGCCTATCAATCACATAAACTTCACAGTTCTACTCATGTTAATTCATCATATCATCACATAGTATTCACATATTAATCCCTAATATCATCTCACATTGCCTCATATTAATTAATCATAATTACACTTGCGGTAATTTTCATACTATCACTTATTGCTCACGCAACCTCACTGTCATACTCATAGTAACTCATCACTGGAATCCTAGAATCAAACATCACGGCATCGCTGCACACGATCAATATTCGTGAACTCTGCTACGTTCGTTGGCTCGCTCGCTAGGCGAGTCTCATAGCGAACCCCTCGCTGGCTTGCTCGCTAGGCGAGCCTCTAGTGAATCCTCGCTGGCTTGCTCGCTAGGCGAGTCTTGTAGCGAACCTTCGCTGGCTTGCTCGCTAGGCGAACAGTGCGATGACAGCAACTTCTGCTACGCACCAGAACTGATTTCCACCCAAAAACTCATACGATTCACACATCTCATACCCCCAAAACATCCCTAAATCATCCCTAAGGTTATACGGCGATAACGGTACAAAATCTATGGTTCATTAGGCTAATCTGGCAACATTTGCACTTCCTAAAACACTATTTTCCTGCAATTACCCTAAAGGCATCATAATTTCTCATATCACCTATCTCTATCCCTTCAAGGTCGGACGCATGTCACCCCATAGTTTTGGCCACGAAGGCCTAAGATTCCCTAATCCTCATATCAGATATTCAATATTCAGTGATACATATCAAAAACCATAATCTCAGAGTTCATCGTCAATTTCCTTTACTTTCCCACAATCAACCCAAAATACCTTAAATCATAAACCACATAAACCAGCCATAAATACATCTAAAGGCATACATAGAAAATCATGAAATGCGATACTCCCCATACCTTAGCCGATTCGCAGCTTTCACGATTAACTTCGGGATCTTCCGAAACTTTTGCCTCCACTTTTCCCTCCTCAGAGCTCTGGCCTCATTCTTTTCACGGTTAACAAAAATGAATCCCAAACCTTCAGAATTCTATTTTGTCAATCTTAGACTTTGGCCACATAATTGGGCTTTTTCCATAACACCCTTACTAACTCTTCATAATGCTCAATTTACCCTTATTTCACTTATATTCATTTTAATCAATAATAATACTAATATTCTCATATAGTATACTATTAATTAAATAAATAGTCCAAAAATGCACATTTTCACAATAATCCACAAAACCACCGAAAACCACTCAAAATACCAATATTCTCAATTAAATAATTAATTAAAATATCATGATTAAATCCAGGGTGTTACACCCTGTACTTCTGAGATGGTAGAGGTGTCTTATCCTTCTGAGACAAAGGCAATAACTACTATAGAGGTTACTCCCGAGATAGTTATTGAGGAGCCTACTCCACATATGGCTATTGAGGTGCCAACTAGTGATGATATGAAGGTTACTCCTCAAATTGAGACATATGCCACTAATTCTCATGAGACAAATGTCATT